GAAAAATGTGTTTGTATTTTAAGTTTATCTGATGTTTTGCTGGCATGATTAATTTTATTCTCACCTGTTCAATATTTCACTGCCAAACAAATCCCAGCAACTGCTTTCATACAGTCTAACTGGCAAGACTATCAGTTTATTTCTGCTCTGTGACACCTCGTGTTAGGAAGAATTACTGAATTCATTTGCTGCATCATGTTATGCTATCTTTGATGGGTCACACTGTCATTTCTGAGTGCAGAGATTGCTGTGATTCCTGGCTTATCATTTTTTTCAAGGATTTTTAGCCTTGAAGAACTTCTTTCATGTCAGTAAGGTAGCTATGTATTAACACATGCATAGCAAAGTAGAATTTGCTGATTTCAGAGGGAGGAGTTGAACATGTGGATAAGTGTTATCAGAATTGGGCTCTAAATTCTGTAATAAAACAACTAAAAGTATAATAGACAAAGAAAATGTTTTAATGAATTTAATTCCTAATAACCATGAAGGCTAAAAAGAGGTTAACACAGGAGTGTTATGTAGCTCATGAAGTAAACAGAGATATTATGTTTCACTAGTTTTTTTGCTGTGAAATTTTACAAGGGTGTCAATGTCTGGTACTGTAAATATAATTTCCTTATTAGTCATCAGCAGATAATAGGACCCTGAACTATATGAAAGATGTTTATTTGAAGATTCCAGAAGTTTTCATTATGCTCCTTTTCCAGCTTTTGATTATGAAGTTTCTTGTTAGGATTTTGCTCTGGACTGGAGCAGTCCTTAACTGGAGTTGGGAAGTTACTGGAAATGAGTCTGGGGAAAAAATTTTCATCCCTGCCATATCTCTTTATGCAAATCTGAGATTCTTTCACTTTCTATTTTATCCTCATCATCTCTTTTTTTTTTGGTCATCATCTCTTTTTTTTTTGTCATCATCTCTTTTTTTTATTGTCATCATCTCTTTTTTTTTTTGTCATCATCTCTTTTTCTTCTTTTGTCATGGGCATGCTCTTTTTTCAGTGTACTTTACATCTTCCAATTTTGCATGCTGGCATTCCTTAGAATCCATTCTTCTCTAAAAGTTTCCAATTGTCCCATTACCGCCACCGCTACTTTAACTTCCTCATGTTAAAGGTGATGTTTTTAACCTTTCTGCTGTCCTTTCCCAAAACGTGCCCTCATCACATTCCTCTGCTGGCTTGTGGGTTCACCCTCCTAGCTGATTGAAATCATTGTCTTCAGCCGATAGATTTCAAGTCTTCTGCAGTTGACCCTTTGATACAGAGCAGAAGTTTTGAGGCAAAATTGGGTCCCAGCTCATGCATCTGAGCTGTGCTTCCTGGAAATCTCCCACTGAAGTCTTGTGTTAGTTGGTTTACTCCTGCCTGTGCTGCAAGTACAAGTTTCTTTGGATTTGCAGGCAGGGCCTTCAAGATCGTTTGCAGGTATTCTGTGGTCCTATGTGTTGCTCTAGAGAAGCTGGAATGAACGTGAGTCTGGGACACCTCTTATGGCATCACAGCTGTTAGGTTTCTTTACTCTCTTTGGCTCCGCTCCAGAACAAGCTGAAGTCAATGGCAAGATTCAAATGGCACTCCATCTGAACGAATCAACTGTGCATAAATGCTTGATTGGAGGTACACTGGAAGCAGGAGAGGAAAATTGTTCTTACACTGACTTTTTTTTTAATATCTTTTAAAAATAGTTTCTCACTCATATCAATACTTCTTAAATAAAGTGGGTTTTCCTGCATTGAAATGTTAGTGATTCTTATGTAAGGCTGAAATAACTCAATTAAAATCAGTATGTATGTTACTCAGTTTATATTATGGCTATTTAAATCTCAGAGAATATATATTTTTTTAACAGTGCTACTATTTTATGTTTACGTTTTCTGTTTTGAAAACCTTGGTCTACTTCTAGCCAATGATATTAAAATAATTTAATTAATTTCTGTTATAATGGTGGCGCTTACCTCTATAACTACTACCCTTATTTCTTTAATTCTTATTGTTTCGGAGGAGCCGTATTCATCAATCTGAAATAATCTCAGCAGTTGGAAAAATCTCTTCCCTGAATACATACACAGAACCAGTATGAAGGGCCCATGCTTACACGTTCAGATTACAATCTATAAATGTTCGAATGACATATGCATTCATACACTTGAATGGAAAACTGTATTAAACCTTTTCAGAAGCGAACACTGTGGCCTAGAATCTTATATGCAGCCTTTAGACTTGTATTCATAAATATTATGCACATGGCTGTTTGCTATTTAAGTAGCCTTGGAGTGTCTGATGTCAGTTACTTCCCCTAAATAAAATACTTCGGACGTGTAACACCTGGTTTGGAGCCAACTGGCTTTGGTTTGCTTCCTTTCCAAATGCTTTCATTCACAAGTGGGCAAAATGACTCCTCATGCTGTGAAAAGGAACCTAGAAATACATAGTGAACACAATTTTACACAAAATAAGGACATATTTTCAGGTTTTAATAAACCTCAGTGAGAGTTTGATCCAGCTCCCAATAAATTCAATGGAAAGATTCCTTTTGACTTCAGTGGGATTTTGACTAGAACCGTATTTGCTAACCACAGCACTGTGGGGAGCAGCACGAGCAGCGGGGATGGAAAGAATCATTGCTTTTTGTCCAGTCCTCTGCCACTGGGAAGGACGTGATTGCCACCAGAGACGGGGGATTCTAAGAAGGTGAGCTTCAGTGCTCTGAGACAGCAACTGTCACAAGGCAGTGACCTTAGAGGAATCCAGACCTGCGATGAAATAAAGTTCCTTTGCTATTTCTCACTCTTAGGAGGCAAGCAGAATTAACAGAACCATAGAACCCAAAGGCTCATGCAAATGACTGTTGGAAGAAAGAATAATCTGGAGAAAAAATTAGTTGGAAGTTGAAATCTTTGAAGAATTTAAGATTGAATAAATGTCTGGGAAGGCATAATCTGATTATCTGGAGGCACAAAGCTATCTGCTAAGAGTGTAAATATAAGGTTATGTGTCAGGAATAGAGGTATACATTGGCTAGTAGTGAGTCCAAATTTTCACTGCAAAATATGCATATAATCATGGCAAAAGGTGTATCTTGGTGCACTTCACTCTTAAGTCATCTTAGAACCAGATCCTAAAGTCTTAATAGTACGTGTGGTCAGAAATGACCTCTCAGCAGTGTGTCTGTTAAGACAGGGACCAGTTCTTATGTACTGAGCCCTTGCCAATGTACACTGCAGACTCAAGTTCATGCTGATCATTCCTGTCTGAGCAGACAATTTGGAGATACTCTTACAGCTTATTATATAACCTCTAGGTACAATTTTTCTGCTCTTCTTTGTTTGTTTGTTTTATTTTTACCTTTACAGCGTTAAGCTTACTTTTATTTCCTGCTGCCTAGGATCAGAATTGCCTGCATTGTGTTTCCTGTTGCGGTGCTTCTCTTGCGATGTATCACTCTTTCTCTGTTCTGCTCAAGTATTGTGTTAGATCCTACCATAGGTTTTTAATGAGTAGTCCAAAAGCCCCATATCTAATGGGTTCTCATCTGAACAAGATTGCCAAAAAGTCTGTAAAAATACTGTTTGCTTGGGTTTTTTTATACTTGATGCCTCTTAGAATTGCTTCAAGGTTGTTATGACTATTTTGCAGCAAGAAATAATGCTCCCTTCAGGCTAGGGAAGTGTGGGAGGTTGGATTTAAGGTTAGTATCCGTTCATTCTATGCTGCCTTAAATAAGAGGTGTTTAATTTAGCAAAACAGTGTGAATGGCAGGGTGTATAGAGGGTTTTTTATTTACCTTTAGAAGAACACTTACCAAGTGATGTCAGACTAGTTACTTTCTTTGAGAAAGCTGATGCAAAGAAGTTCAAAAGTACATGGGAAACTTGCATGAATTGCCTTTCATTTTTCACGTTCCTCACCGACAGATGTCAGGAAATTTTAAAGGCTTTAAAAATATTTTCTGTGAATGCTTTTATTAAGGAAATGTTCAGTTCCAGTCTGAACTTGTTTCAGAACTTAGTTTGGTCACCTTGATATGAGGAGCTTAAATGTTTATTCCATTCAGAGTTCCAAAACCTAGGGACTGTACCTGAGCA